AATATCGAAACCATAAAACAACATTATATATGCTATAAAAAGATAAGTTGCGGCTTTACGAATTTTCGACACAGGGATTTTAGGATTGCCAGCGTTTTTGACTCAGGGATCCTCAATCCTTCATCAAAAATACAAAATTTCTGTCATTGAAACAATGAATAAATAAAATATCATTGAAAAAAATTTTTTTTTAATCTTGAACAAGACGCATGTGGTTCTAACGGTTTCTTAAGTCGCTGATTACGAATCTGTTACCAAAAATGCTTAACTCTTTTATTTAAACAGTTTATAAGTAATCAGTTACTGAAAAATAATATTTTTCAATATTCATTACGATACAAATGGTTATATTGATTTCCTAAGTCGCTGATTACAAATACGTTATTAAAAAGGCTATATTTTTTTATTGCAACAATTGATTAATTATAAATTATTGAAAAAATCCTTTTTTCAGTCTTGGACAAGATGTATACGGTTACATTGGTTTTTGAAGTTAAGTCAATAGATTTGTACAATATTAAGCCAGAATGTCAACTGTACTCGTAGAAAAAAAAAAAAAGATTTATTAAATTAATTAACTAGCATCTAATTCCTAAATACCTTGAAAACTTGATATTTATGATTCAGAAGAATCAGAAGTATCACCATTTTCTGAGTCTTCGATGTTTAAATTTCGATGTATTTCGACAGATAGAGTCAACAATAAGTGTATTACTTCGGCTGACAATATTTTTCTTCGGTTTTTGAGGAACTTATCTTCAACATAAAATAAATTAATTTGTCTATACTAGAACCCTGTTATAACCATCCTCTATTGTTTTTTCTCGTGTGTTCTTGTGTGCAAAGTTTAGCTGGTAATGTCTAAAAATGTTTATTGCAGGCTTCCTGAGCTTCTTCTGACATTTGACCAATCGGTAAAGGTGAATAAGCACTTATTTCTCCCCCATAAATTGACAGTGTATAAAGCAAAGTAGGCATGTAATACCAAATATACAGCTCAACATATGTTTAGTTGCTTCCAAAGCATATTCTTTGAACTAACTAACATCAATTGCACAACCACATGATAAAGTTTGCATGACAACGTAGAAATAAGTTATAACATCCATATTTATTTCGGTTATTGATGCAGAAACTTCTGGAGTTTGAAAGAATTTGTAGGCAGTGTTTCTATCGTTCGAACTGCCACCTCCTGGTTTTGGCACTTCAATAGTCAAAAATCATTTGGCTTTAAAACGTTTTTGTAAAGTACTTTTTTGTCCACCATCTCTTTTATCCTCATCTTCACGACTTTATTATTTTTCACTTCCAATTTGTATCCAATTTGTAATAAGCATTTAAAGCACGCCCTATACATGCATGTAGAATTGACAGACCGAAGATTTTTATTTACTGGTATCTTAAGCATACGCTTAATGTCACTGAAATCCTTGGATGTAGCTTAATACGGATAATAACGTTGGGTAGGTACATTCTGTGAGTGCATAACAAATTTTTCCATCTACCATGGATAAACTTAATTAAAAAAAGGACAATTATCTCTATTGTTAAACACTGCTTCGTAAAGCCGCAACTGATCTATTTATAGCAAACGTTATGTTGTTTCACGGTTTCGATATTTTCTTTAACAAATTCCATTTTGATGGGCCTGGAAAATCTTGAAGAACATGACCTCGGATTCTTCCAAACCACAGTAATTTTTTTTGTTAATAGATTTCTGCTTACTTCTACTTATTAGTTGCAGTAGCACGAAAAAAGTAAAAAATTTTCTATTTAAATATTGTATTTAATCAATAGAGATAGAGCTTTACCAGATGTATACGGTTTTTCAATTTTAACATCCAGTAACTTTAAAAATTTTTTGATACTTAGTGATTTTAGATGAAGTGCCAAAAGTTATAACTTTAAAAACGTATGCAGCATCTTTGAGTCTTTCTTCACGTAGTTTCATTTGTGTTGCCCACGCAATCTCTGCAGTTTTTTTAGTGGATCGTAAATCTGCTGCCTTTTTACGTTTAACTATATTTGAACCTTCATGAAATTCCACAGTTTTGTCAGCTGATTTTAAGTGTTTTTACTTTTGTTTCTGTATTTTCATTCTCTCTCTCTCTCTCTCTCTCTCTCTCTCTCTCTCTCTCTCTTTCAGAGAAACTAGTACCTATCAAATAATGAATATTTGTGATAAAGCTGCTTCTAATTCTAAAAAACAAATATTTGTACAAATGTTAAACTCAAATAAGTGTTAAATCTTTTATTTTATGAAAAAAAGTAATCTTTAACCATGACTTGTTAATCTGTGGTCTTTTAATGGATTGACGCTATCTAACTGAGCCAACGTCAAGCTCTATTGGTATAGGTAAAACAGTGCTAGATTTAATGCTCTAAGTATACCCATATATACAAAGAAGCCAAGCCCTTCCAATATGCTGAAATGGTCCCATGACTCGAGCTCGTGCGCTCCCCCTCTCTGGCTTCTGAACTTTCAGTGCTACCACTGAATTGTAGAGAGCCTACCGTTAGGGTTTGACGGTGTCAACGATTGACACGTGGCTGTTTAATGCTGTATTAATTGTATACATACATACAAGTGTGATCGTTTGCCTGTAAAAAGTTGAACTCAGAACTGTCATATCTTCAAGACATGGTTTAACATAAGTACTTCAATCACCTAGGCTGTTTGAGTGCCAAATTGTTTTCCGTGTAGAGCATGTGATGATCCAACTTATAAGGACATTCAATTTTCCATGTCCTTGTTCGTTCTTATTTATACAAAAACGTGAATAAAAAACCATTAGATATAGTAATTCAAGCAAACTTTTTTTAATCACGTAAATTATGACCTAAAGAATATGTTCCAATAAGTTTGATAGTGAGATTTTGCGGTGCTCGTAAACTTTTTTCTGAAAAACAAAAATTTTTTTTTGGTTTTGCAATATAAAAAATAGGGACGTTCGTTGTTTTTTAGTAACTTTTTATTTTGTAGTGAAATATTGTATACAGGAACAATATTTCTTACTTAATTTGAGAATTATTTCCATTTTAACCCAATGTAATTAGTTGTATTTTATTCGATTTGCCTGTATTTAAACTTATGCATTATTTTTCTTTTTGCCTCGCTTTTCGTGCTGCTTGAGCGATGGATACTTTTACACTGGTATTGTAAAAATGGGAGGAAAAATTCACATAAGGTCCTTCTATACATGGTTTTAAATTCTCTGAGGTCTGCTGTAGCAAATACAGTGACTTAAAATTACTAACAAGTAATATTTTTTTAAACTTTAGATCACATTTTTCTATTTGGCCACACTGTATAATGTCACCTTGTTACCAGAGTTTACCACGGTAAGGTCAAGGCTTGAGGTAATTTCCAACACCGCCCGTCCCCTGGTATTGGTATGCGTTTCACCGAAGCGGTGGCCTTGTGATTTAGGTCACTGGCAATGACCATGTCACCCACATCCTTGAATGTTAACGCTAAGTAAATCCGTAGTTGATAAAAACTACTGCAAAACAAAAAGTTATTTTGTTAATAAGCAGACTGATTAAGATTTCTACGTTCATGCTATTTGTGATGACGAAATGTTTTTAAAAAACATTGGTTCTGGTCAGTCATTTCTGAAAAAAAATAAAAAGAAACGTGTCCATCATTCATTAAAACGGAAACATTTGTTTTGCATATCTCACGTTAGTATAATAAAGAAATTTAAAAAAACTTCTTCTAACTGATGGATATTATATAATACACATGAAACATTATTGTAATGTCCTTAGTTATACATTCTTATAGAAATTAAATCTCTATTCCGGCGCAAGCCAAGATCCGAGCTTCGCCCAGATGCGTAAGTACCCTTCCTCTCATCCCTTTGAGAACGAGCTGGCCTCTGAAATTCTCTGTTATTTTGCTTCTTCTTTCTTCTCTAATGCCCTTTTGTCTTCTAGGTGAGTGGTCCTTACGGACCTGTCCCATGCGGGAAGGTCAGTTTTTAGTCGGTAAGTATACCGGGTGAATCCGACACTACCACTGGATTAGCTGGGATTAGTTTGAGTTAAGACGATATTTCTGTAAATGTAGCAATTTAACCCATGGTTACTTTTTAACTTTATATAATTGTATAAAGTATGATAGAATAGCACAATATACAAAACTTTAAATTGAGTTGACAACATAAATAATCTTACCTTCCTGATTGTAACACAATTTATCTAAGAAAAATCTCTTATAACTAACTTATCAATAACTCGGTATTATTAGCAAATATTGTGCCATTAATTTTCGAAATTTAAGATTCCAGAAAATTTTAATCATTTTGTATAAGCTTGATATTAGCAAAAAATCACATAAAAGAAACTTTGATAAGTTAAGTATTTCGTGTGATTCACAATCCTGAAAAAAATGTTTAAAAATAGTTAAGAAAATGTTGGGAGAAATGATATTAAATGATAAACCTAATTTTAAAGGTAAGTTGTTCAACGTAAATTGTATTTCATTCAAGACAATCAATCGCGCCATAACAGTTTTTCAAGGTATGAGCATGTGCTCATAATTGTATGCATTAAAATGTGGTTTTTAACGTATTCTCTTTCTTGTAACATTACATTATGATAGAAAAAAAAATTGAATCTAAAAATAACGATAAAACTATTTTTTCTTAGATAACCTCGAATAATAAAAACTTTCAAAGTTAATCATGAATTGTATACTACATGATCCTAATATAAGTTTAGTTCTTGTTTTTATGTTAAAGTTATCTGAAAAATTTTTAGTTACGTTATCACTATGTTAAATTTTTTTTTTCAAATAATACAAACGTATTCATAATGGCTCGAAAAACTAGATTTACGTAAAAAAAAAATAAAAATGAACACAATATAATACATAAGTTCAACGTCTTTCAGAAGACTTTAAGATCATAACGTGCGATGCTGCCTTTTAGAGAATTACTTAATTTTTTTTGGATAAAATTTATCATATTTTAAAATGGATTTTTACTACAAGGATAATGATACAGTACTTCAGTCCATTAAGAGCTTTGGTTGTGGAGTACAAACTGAACATTACGGGACACGACTTGTTCGTTTATCGTTCATGTCAGAGTTTCAGTACCAGTATACAAGTCGTTAGCTGCTGTCATGCGACATACTTACTGTCAATTAAAAGTTTTCTTTTACATTTACTAAAAATATCATTATTTTATTATTTCTGAATAATAATGTGTAATTTGTTTTTATAAATAAGTTATGGTCAATTTTTAAACAATATTCCTGATTTCAGGGAGACGTCGAGAAAATAAAGAAAATGAAAAAAATTTAGAAGACATAAAATATGAATCGAATTGTAGTAAGAAAGGTCGCAATTTGTCTAGTAGGTCTGGACGTGGTGGAAGAGGGTCAAGTCGTGGTTTTTCATCTCGATCTCTTGTAAATAAAGAAGAATTATCTTCAAGTTCTAACAGTTTTAGTCGACCTATTGATACATGGACCGGTAATGAGGATCAACTAAGTAATCGCAAAGAATCCAAAATAGGTTTGTTGAGAACAGTTTTTTGATTCATTATTGATTGATCTAATTCTTATACATACTTTAAAAATATTTTCATAAACATTTGATCTGAAGCTTATGTAGATTTATCTATTACCGTTACAATCACATAACAAATTTTAGTGATCTTAAAGGACGTGCGCAAATTACGTTAACCATTTTAAGCAATTCTAGACCACCTCTTACCTTGTTATTGATAATTGTAGATATACGTTTTTCTCCTCCCTCCTAAAAAACTAATGGATGTCTCTTATTTTGCATAATAAACATAATTATTGACTACCGTTTTGAATATTTTTTTTCATGAAATAAATTCTTTTTTTCAAATAACTCAAGTGTGCAAGAGGTAATCTCAATAATTTATTTACTCTTTATAGATTTAATTATTAGTATTTTTAATGTTGAATGAACCCATGATAAATATAAATAAAATATGTTTCATCAGCAAATGCACTACTGGCTGCCATCAAAGAATTCATATTTTTGATCATCAACATAGTGTTTTTTGATGTTCAATTGTCATTTACTTTAGCAAATACACTTATACTGTTTTTTACATTCATGTCTGCAGCTTAAGGCAAATATGTTGAAATATACCTTAAACTTAGAGTAGAATTAAAAGCTATTTAACATTTTTATTTACTTGAGTTTTGAAAACACAAAAACCCGCTAACAAAAGAGGAGCATTAGTTAAAGATTATGTAAAAGTATTGTCAAAAGTGTCAAACTTTTGAACTTACTATTTTGATTCATGATCAATATTAGCTTGTAGTAAAAAAAGTTTGTACCTGTTTTATATTGACAACTTTGTAAACGAGTTATACTTTTAGAGTTACAGAATGAATATAGAGTTTTTCAGGAATTGTTTCAATCACTTCTTTCAAATTGCTGTTTCGTAGACAATTAGAATGAAAATGTTTTAAAAATTGTATGGGCTAACTGAAAATCGATGTGATCATTGTGTGTTAAAAATTTTTAGGGAGATAAAGTTTTTGACAATACTATTAATATTTAACACTTTAAAAAAAATTTTTTTAATTTTTCTATTAATTAGTTAGAAACGTAGTGTATCCATTTTTTTCGAACTGATCAGTTTGATCTTGCAAAAAAACTTGAAGTTCTAAGAAATAAGTTTCTTGCATAATGCTGAGTATAACTAAAACTTCTTTGCATACTCATATATTTAAGTTTCAATATCATGAGTACTAAGCTATGTAATATAATTTATTGTAAGTCGAGGGTTAGCCATAACCTTAAAAAACGTAGGAAATAAGGATTTTCAGCAATAATTATTGTATGTAACTTCTCACTTAAACAGTTAACTCCTCAAATCTATCAACCTATGAGACTATACTCTCATGGCCCTAAGATCATATGTCCTTATACTACATAACCCATAACCTCAAAAAATCTAGCTAATAAGGATTTTTCGTAATATTAAATGTATTTAACTGTATAACTTAAACGGTTAGCTCCTAAAACCTATTTACCTATAACCTTAGAACCTAATAACCTTACAATACCATAAAATTATTACCCAACAACTCTAAAACAAAACAACTCTAACTACACAGCCTCACAAGAAGTTCTGCCTCGGGGTCTGACTACGTTTACTGTATGTTTTTGGGGTCACTAAATCCCAATCCGAGGTCAGTTTAATCTCACTACGACTGAATTGGTCCTTAACTTTAAAAGACGCTTAAAAATTTGCGAAAACCGTAAATTCCGATCATCCTGAGCGATGTCAAACAAGTCACTTGCTCGTCCATTGAATCTATGACTAACTCTGTAACCCTGACATAAAAATACTAAAACCGTATCGCTTAATCTGTCACCGATAAAATATTTGTGGCGTAGATTTCGTAAAATTAAAAGAGAATATCGTCATCATTCCTGTGTTATTTTACAACCTTGTATGACGTTTGTAGGACCATCAGCATTAGCGTTACCTAATGTACCAATATCTATAGCGTGGAGTCACATGACTGTATATTGTATAATATATAGGCCTATTTCAGATGTGTCAATAAGTGTATAAATGTAAATATTCAAATAGATAAAAAAATAAACATCAACTAATAAATACGTGTGTAAATCAATAAATAAATTAAGTAATATCAAATCAAAGCCTTATTCTCCGAGTTAAGGCTAGAGAGTGCAGTTAAGACGTTACATTCGCAGCACCCTTACACACGCGTGACCTCCCTTAAGACCAAAAAGTCTAATAAAGGATGAAATTTTCATTCGCGTTACATTTATTAAATTTTCAAAAAACCCTCATAACAGCTACTGTCTAGAGGTGGAATGAGGATGAAAACATTTTTTTCTTTTTCATTTCTACATTATACGAGAAAACTATTTAAGTTCGTAAAACGTGAAAGGATCGGTGAAAAGTTCAGTTTGAAAAATAAAAAAAAGTGAATTAAAACGTAACAGTCAAACAAAAAAAGGATCATCAGATGTCAAGGCCGTACAGCGCAGTGATTATTGCGTATCAAATGTGGTCTTGACAATAATGAGCAGCACCAAGCCACTGAGACAAAACAGTGAAGAGCTAAAGGAGCAGTAGAAAGAAGAAAGACAAATTCAGAGGAGAACTATCTAACACTTATGAATATCCAGTAGCGATCTCTAAAATGCAGTAAGGAACAATCATTATTATTATCATCACTGTTGTCTGACAAGTAGAGAAAAATATTATAAATTTTAAAATATTTATTATTAACTCCTTAGAGAGTAAATTTTATTAAAAGGCACTTTTCACGATCATTATGAATGTAAATTACCAGATCAAATAAGTAAATGGCTTTAATTTTGATCGAGTTCAACACAAATATAGTATACGTAATTATCAAAACAAATCGCTGTAATATATTCGAAAAAAATAAATTATATGCAGATAATACTATAACATAAATAACACACATGCACGCACGTTTCGGAAGGTGACTTTTGCGGACAATCATTTGCAAAAGGAGGGGGGGGGTAATTATGCGGACAAATTAGGAATTATGCGGACGTCCGCACAACTCTACCGTGTTATTAACATTTGCCTTTAAAGCACGTAAAGTCTGCATAAGTTACCTTTCCTAAACACACACACGCGCGCGCGTGCGCCCTCGCGCATGTATATATAT